TAAATATAAAAAAAATAATATTTATTACTTGGATTTTTTTAATCACTTTTACATTATTGCTTCATTTATTCCAAGGCCCATTGTGATCTTATTTGGAATAAATTACTCAAATACCAAGTATAATTAGGTTTTTTTTAAGTTGTTTTAATAATCACAAAAGACTATTGTCAAAACAGGCCAGAAAACTAGGGTGTTTATGAACTTTAATGGATTATAGTTTGTCCCTGAGAACTATGGTTTTTATACCATGGAAATAACTGAACTATTCATTCTGGAATTTTCTCCTCTTCATAAATACTAATGTAGCTACACAGTCATCCTAATAATCACAGAATTATCTGTGAACATATTTTAGATATTTTATTTCCTCCTGGAATTTTCTGTTCATTAAATTACTCTTTAAAACATTTTCTTACAGTGACCATATGTTTTTGCCTTTTCAAAAATATGTTACCCCAGGAGCGCCTGAGTGGCTCAGTCGTTAAGTGTCTTCAGCTCAGGTCATGATCCCAGGGTCCTGGGATGGAGCCCCGCATCGGGCTCCCTGCTCTGCGGGAGGCCTGCCTCTCCCTCTCCCACTCTCCTTGCTTGTGTTCCCTCTCTCGCTATCTCTCTCTGTCAAATAAATAAATAAAATCTTTAAAAAAAAATGTTACCCCATTCTACCTGATTTTATTAAAGTAAGCAGTTTCAGGATACACTAACTAGTAGATTTATTGAATTTTGAACTTTAAAAATCTGTGCCACAGGTTGTATTTAACTCTCAGAGTATTAATGAAATCTGAATTCTAGTATAATGTCATTTTGATATATTTAATATTTTTGAAAGATTTACTTTGGGGTGCCTTGGTGGCTCAGTCGGTTAAGCATCTGCCTTCCGCCTAGGTCATGATCCCAGGGACCTGGGATTAAGCCTGCATTGGGCTCCCTGCTCAGCGGGGAGTCTGCCTCTCCTTGTCCCTCTGCCCTCCTTCCCACCACTCCCACTCATGCGCTCCCTCAAATAAATAAATAAAATCTTCTTTTAAAAAAAGATTTGTTAAAATGATGTCTTAGAACATTTGTTATATAAGTATATTTAAGAGAAACTGCTTTGGTTGAATAATTGCTGTTCATTTTTGTAGCAAGAATTTTATTGAAGTTGTAAATCCACTTTTATATCAGCATTATGTTATAGTCTTTGATAAAGCAACAGAATATAATTCCCTTAGCTATTACTGAAATGTTAATGTCTAAATGAGCCTTAATAGTCAAAATAACAGTTTATATAAGACTTAGTACCATTTAAAATTTGCTTTCCTTGGGTAGTTCTGTTATTTTAGTATTATGGATGGGCAAGTACGGTTATCAAAATACTGGAATCCATAACATTTATGTTTGTTGTATAAGGGGGTAGTGGAATGGGGAGGTATTACTGGCTTCTCAGATAACGCTTCTGGTTGAATTATGAATGCAGAGAAATGTACTTTATGTAGACCTCAGATCCTCCTTTCTCTGAGCACATCTGTCCAGTTCCGATTCTAGTTGTTAATGTTCTTTATGGTCTTATTGGAAAAAGTAAAGAAAACTGTTCCAAAAAGACCTTTTCAGAAGTTAAATGCTTCCTGAGGGAAATCCTAAAATGTGGAGAAGACAGCTTAATATAGTTTAGAGGGTGGGGCAGTACATTAATCACTGAATCATTATTTTCTATTCAAGAGTTAATAAAACATCATTTTGCCTAGAATGGGGATGGTTGTTGACTCTAGTTCACTCTGAGTAAATCGGCCATCTAAAACCAAAAAAAGAACATGTTCTATGAAGTTTCGTTTTTACATTTATTCAGTGTTGAGGTCTCCTTAGAGAAATTGGCAGAGAATTTTATTAGAGAATGCATTGGTACATAATTAATATACTCAAAGATGGAGGATTTTCTGGTTGCTGTTTTTTATAATGATCATCTTTTCTTCTCTCCTTTTTACCATTGAGATGTGTTTAATGATTTATACTCTGAAGTACACTGAAGTAGATTGACTTTTGCAGACCAGGGAGGTAAATACTATAACAAAATGATAAGAAAAGCTGTCGGTGTATACAGCTTTTTTGTTAATTCTCTTTCATTTTGATTTAACAGGTATTCCAAAGTGTCTATTCCCTGAAATTTTGTAATTAATGAAATGCTCCAATTTTCAGGGTTGTCATTCCATCTTTGGGTTTGTGGATCATCTGTTTTCTCAAGTGTATTGTGTTTGGGGTAGAAAAGTAGAGATAGTACTTCCCAAGTCTGGTGGTCATATTAGGCAAGTTACTGAATGTCTCTGCTCCTTTTCACCTGCCCGGTGGATAAAAATTGTTCCTTCCCCTTTGCAAGACTGTGAGAAAGGAAAGTCACATGCTAGAAAGTTCTTTAAAAGGTTGAAAACTATCGTTTTACACTGGTAGGTTTTTATAGCCCTGATCAATTTTATTTTTTCTTTTGTGTGTATGACTCATCGCTGTTTTAAGTTTGTCAGCATTGCTTTGTTTTGAGGGAAAAAAAAAATCATAGTAGTTCTGTTTATCTAATTTATCTATCTGTTTATCTATTTATGGCCTCCATCTGGGGAAAAACAGCTATTGGCACAAAGCATGTGGAGTTATGCAAAAGAAAAAAAAAAAACACAACTACTTTTCTTTTCCCTACAGACTGTTCTTGCTTAATTTTCAAAGTTAATATTTCTCTAAAATAATTCCAATTTAAGGAACAATATTGAATTTTTTTCTTAAATGCTTAATACCCTTTGCAAGGTGAATTGATATAATGGGCAATAGTTTGAAGGTTATAAATGTTGGCCAATTGTAAATAGTGTCCCAGTTTCTTATATAGAAGACAAATTTAAAAGTTTAAAATGGTAGCCTAAGTGTATACTAATAGGAAAATGATTAAATTTTAGGTATATTCATTCAGTAAGAAAATATATAACCATTAATGGTAATTGTGAATGTCACCTAATATTAAGGAGCAATATGGAAAATACTTGGGATAAAAAAGTACTTTACTGGGAAGAATTACCTTTATTTTCATGTTAATGTAAGTTGTACCTAGTAATACCTAGTAATGCTACTTTTTAAATTTATCGCAAATGCCGCTTCTGGTTCCATGCCTTAAACTTTGCAGACAATGGCTTTCTTAGACCCGATGAACTTTATGGTGCACTGCTTTCTGTAACTCAAATTAATGTTCATAAATGTTTAGATTATTGTCCATTTAAGTAGATTTTGAAGTTTCCTAAATGTTTTCAAATATGAATATGAGTATAATCATTACTCATTTAAAAATTAACGAATTTCTAGGTTTTTTTCTTGTTTATTTCTCCTTAGAAAGTATTTTATTTTGTTAACTGGACAATAAGCTCTCTTACCACTCCGTTGCTCATAATAGTAATTCTGGTTTTAAAATTATTTTCTCTAAATTACCTTGGTCATATACAGAAAACTGTAGCCTCAGGAAAAAAATGTTTTTATTTTGTAAAATTAGGTATTTTGGAAATCTTTTTTTAAGTAATCTTTACACCCAACATGGGGCTCGAACTCATGACCCTGAGATCAAGAGTTGCATGCTCTTCTGACTGAGCCAGCCAGACACCACTTAATTTTTAAACCAACATTTTAAACAGAAAAACTTTATGATCTGCTCTGCGGCCTAACGTGAAGACAGAAGTAACTCTCAAAAGATTTTTATTATAAAAATAATTTTTTAACAAATATACAACCAAAATCAGAAACAGACCCATAAATACAGAGAACAAACTGATGGTTGCCAGAGGGGAGACGGTTGAGGGGATTGCCAAAATATGTGAAGGGCAGTGGGAGATACAGGCTTCCAGTCATGGAATGAATTAATCGTAGGGGTGAAAGGTACAGCACAGGGAATATAGTCAATGGTATTGTAACAGTGCTGTATGGTAACATATGGTAGCTACACTTGCGGTGAGCATAGCATAATGTATAGAGTTGTCAAATCACTATGTTGTACACCTGAAACTAATATATAACATTATGTGTCAACTCTACTTCAATTAATAATAATAAAGGAAAGTAGTAGTAGTAATAACAATAATAATTTTCTAACTGGCCAGACTTTACCAGTTATATGAGGTAAAATTTTTTCTTCCATTCCCCAGAAAAGATTGCCACTGTTCAGTGTGTGGTCTGTATTCTTTCTGGTGTTTTTCACAGATACACAAACACATGTATGTGTATTTTTTTAATTCAAAGCAAATCATACGCTATATATACATACTCTTCTGAATTGCTCTTTTCAGTTACTCTATTATGAACTTCTGTCTGTGTATACATATGGAGATACTTCATTCTTGTTGATAGTTATGTACTATTATTACATTAAATTAATGTACTATAATTTAACCAGTTTCTTGATAGGGAAAATTAGGTTGTCTCAGTTTTGTTTATTACATGTTTTAAAGAACTGAAGTGTCTTTTTTATCATGTATTTGGGTGGAGATTTTGCTTACCATAGTGAATCTGTTTAAAGGATCAAAATCGAGAGTTACTCCTTATTTGAAATTGCAGCTAATATTTTGGAAGAAATTTACTATGTTTCTATTTTATGCCAGGCATGTGCTAGGCATTGAGTACTGACCTGAGCGTGACAACTGCTGCTCTCAAGCACAGACTTTGGGAATGGCTCATTCCTGTCAGCATAAAAATCATGCCATTCCTCCCTAGGGAGGGTGGTTCCTAATTCCTTGGACAAAAAGCTAATCATTTTGTGTCACTCAGAACTGTTGGGGTGCCTGGGTGGCTCAGTTGGCTAAGCGTCCAATTCTTGATTTCGGCTCAGGTCATGATCTCAGGGTCGTGAGATCAAGCCCTACATCGGGCTCAGCACTGAGTTTAGAACCTGCTTAGGATTCCCTGCCCCCTCCCCCACCACTCCTCACACTCTACTCTCCCCCAAAATAAAAATAATAAGAACTTAAAAAATAAAAACTGTTCCTTATAGCCACATCTCCTGTTTCGCAAGAGCTATGACAAATGAAAACCATTTTTTAATGACTTTTCATAGTTTATATAGGTAACTGTGAGTATATTCTGGTAGTCAGGTGATACTTATTTTGAAAATGGGTCATATTTCTGATAAAACCAATCATTCAGCAAAGACCTGTTGAGGATGTGCATGTGCTGTGCGTTGAACTAGTCACTGGGGGTACAAAGATGATACAGTCTCTGCTTTCATACGACCTACTTTGAAAAAGAGAAAGAAAAATATTTTAGATCCACAGTTGACTTGAGTCTTTAACAAATGCTTATCTAGTGGATGTTCTGTTGATTATTTTTAGATGCCACAATTAATTAACAGTAATCAGTGAAGCATTATCTCCCCTCAAACAAACCAGCTTCCAAACCTAACTGCTTAAGTTTCCTCTTCTCCCTAATACGTTATAGTCTTCAACTTTGAATACAAGTTTTGAGGTATTTAAATTTCAGAGAAAAACTTTACTTTGTTCTACAGGCAGATTTCCAAGAAGTTTCTTCTCATTTTCCCATTTAGTATCTGTCATGTTTTAAAAATTAAGGCTGTGTACCAAATATGAGTCATTATGAGGTTTCTTTTATTTCACTTTTTCCTTTGAGGCATTCTAAAATAATGTTAAGGTAATGTCAATAATTTCTTCTTTTCCCCCCCAGCTGGTCCATATGGAATATTTGCTGGTAGGGATGCCTCCAGAGGACTGGCGACATTTTGCCTAGATAAAGATGCACTTAAAGATGAATATGATGATCTCTCAGACTTGAATGCTGTACAAATGGAGAGTGTCCGAGAATGGGAAATGCAGTTTAAAGGTACCTTCATTTTGTCGGGTTCTTCGGAAATATTAAATTTATGGCCAAAGAAAGTGTATACTATGTCACATTCCTTAAGAGCCTAAGGATATCTCTTTTCATCACCATCATTATTTGATGATAAAAAAGCTAAGTATGAAAATGATTGCATATTATTATTATTTAAAAATTCATATTTAAAAGTTGTCTTGTTACAACCTATAAGTCTAACAAAAACTGTGGCACCTTTAGTCTTATAAGGCTTTTTAATTAAGATAGAGTATTTTTAAATATAGGCTTCTATTTAAAACTGAATTTATTTTGATATTGATACTATAATTTATTCCAAAATGATTTTATTGATCTTACTCTCAAACCATAAAGAAAAATATCTTTCCCCTTTATTATACCCTCGTGGCATCCGTTATTACCTCCTATGTGACAATCCAGATAGCTATTTATGTGACCTCTGCATCCCTTGGAAACACTTCTGGTTCTTCTGGCTTCTTGGCACTTGAACCGGTTCTACTGTAGGAAGCAGTCCTCCTATCTTATCCTCCTGGTTTGTCAGTTAATTCACTTAACCTAGGTTCAGATTCCTGACCAAGAAATAACTAAATATGGATCACCTTGGACACCACAGTGTTCTAAATTAATACCTGGTAACATGAAACAATATTAACAGAGATGTAAGAAGAGAGTTTGATAGGAGAAAGAATAATGGTATGACTGGAGCCACACACTGAGATCTCAAAGAACACAGGATAATAAGTAACAAATGACTTTGCTTTTCATTTGGTTTATTTTCCTGGAGAGTAGTACCCTATGTCACATTTTCTTCCCAAGAATATTTTCTGGGTTGGATCTCCTTATCATGAGCTCTAAGTGATTCTGATGAAATGTCCTTGGTTAAGAGCTGGTATATATGGAACACTCTCCTGCAAAGACAGTCCCCAAGCTTTGTAAATTCCTTAATCCCATTTTCTTTTGTTCAAGCCTTACATGAGTACAAAGACCAGCCACGGTGAACAATAGGAACAACTTAGCCTATTCTATATAATTTTAAAAGAGGCAAACACCTTCCCCACTGTATAATGGAATAGCGAAACGAATTTGATCACTACTGATTTTCTTTTGATGTATTTTTCAGAAAAATATGATTATGTAGGCAGACTCCTAAAACCAGGGGAAGAACCATCAGAATATACAGATGAAGAAGATACCAAGGATCACAATAAACAGGATTGAACTTTGTAAACAACCAAAGTCAGGGGCCTTCAGAACTGCAATTCTTATTACTCCCTTTCACAGAATGTCCAGCATCTTTGGGTTTGGTTCACCTGCTGCAAAAAACATTCAACAGATTGTATACAAGCTAAATGAGTCTCACTATGAAGATTTGAATACTAGACATTATTTATGCTGCCAAACTCATTTATTGCAGTTGTTTGTAATGTCTGGTGGGGCTTCATCATCCTGAAAAGGAGGAAACAGGGACTTTTTTAAAGAGCAAGAAAGTCACAAGGTTACTTTTTCCTTCCTTGCTTCCTCCCTCCCTCCTACCCTCCTTCCCTCCCTTCCTTCCTCTTTTTTTTTTTTTTTAAATCAAAGACAACCAGATATGTATTTGCTACATAAGTGTACAAATCTCAAAAACAGCAAGGGATTCATGTGCTGTGTTCTTGTTTTAGCTTTGAGGGAAGAGACTTGGGCAGGAGAAGTTGGGGGTGCACATCAATTTGAGTAGTTTAGGTTACTGAAACATTAAAATGTGAATTCCCAAACTTTTCTTTTTGGGTTTTGTCAGGGAAAAGAAAAATACCTTTATTTCTAAGAAATTAAGAGAAGGGATTTCAAGTGGATCTAAGTCAAAGCTAATTCCCCAATAGTAAGATCATTTGAAACTAGTTTTTATCCCTTCCCTTCCCCTATTGATCAAATCAATATTAATTGTGCCTTATTTCACTTATATAGACTTGAATTATTTTAGGGAAAGCCCCTATGTGAATTCAGAAGTCACTACAAGCAGCATTGAGACTGAAGTTGGGATATTCTCTTGACCGCAAAACCTTGAAGTCATTCTGTGTATATAGAATGTAAAAGGAATATTCAGTGTTACTGCCACATATGTTAATATACACAATCTTAATTAGCATTGTAATGGCCAAATGCATTCCCTCATGCTTTCTCTCTCTCTTTTAAAAAAAACTGAAAAACAAATCAACTCTGTCCCCCAACAGCTGCCTAATTTTAGGAGTCTGACCCTCACATCTCATTGGTGTGGGTGCATGGGGCCGTAGTATGGATGTTGTATGGATGTGTCTGAATGTGTGTGAGAGCGCCTTGGAAGGGACTCTGCAGATACTGTAAATACCAGTACCGTTTTAATAAAGCATGTACAATAAACCAAAATAAGCTTGAGTTGGACTTTATATACAAACTGTAAGCCAGTGCATTATGATATGGTAGTCAGGATTGTGCATTTGATTCAAGATAAGGAAAAATCTTGGAAATGAAAAGCAGGCACTGGTTAAACAAGTTGTACACATTGTACCACATTCACTGTAACTTTAGGAAGAAATTCCACTTTGTGGAACATTCTCAAGAGATCTGAGATTATTCAGGTAAGAATTGATATATAAAAATGTACATATTTTTACTTTATATTTTGATGCCAACTGATTATACTAGAAGTAATAGCACCAGATGGTAGTTACTGAACACAAAATAATAAAGGATATTCTACTGATAGGTACTGAATCCTTCTATTGTTCATTTGTAAAAGCCCTATATGTCGGTTACTTGATTTCATCACGACTACTTAGGTTCTTGGTTGGATACAAGTTACACCAAAAAAGATAATTTTATTAAACAAGTCACCAGTTAAAGAAAAGATTTATTCTGCTTTATGAGTATAATATATGCAGAAGCCATCAAAGAAAGGGGAAATGTAAACTGCAATAATAAGCTAAAGTATGTAAAATACTACATTCTATTATATTCGGTCTTGGAATGTTTTGTAGAAAATGATGAACATCAGCCAAATCTTTGCTGAAGACTGGTTGTAAAAACTGAGGAGTATTGGTAAATGCTTTGTGTGTTTTTATGTAAAATATTTTTTAAACAAATTTGTTAAAGTACATGTCCTCTGTAGTAAGCATATAAATATATATATATGAATCATTTGAGCCTAAAGTTCAGAAATAAATCTACACCTGTGAATAGAGAAACCCTAAATATCCATGCAGTAAAAATTATGCAGTCTGTTAAGAAAATTGAGTAATTTTGTGTTTTGGACTTGAAATAAACCGTGTTCTACAGACAATTCCTCAATTTTAGTTGAATGTTTCTCATTCTCAGGTAGTTTGCTGGGTAGTATTGGAGTAAGGAGATGGGAGCTGTGGTGGTATTTTTTGCTGCTGATTTCCCCTTAGCCTCAATTTCCCTAACTTTCCTGATGATTAGAACCACTGGAAATGCTTTAAATATAAATCCTTGGTCCCCAGTCCAAACCTACCACACACTGAGCCAGAACTGAAAGAGAATGGTTTTCAGACTCTTTATTTGTGAGAAGTGCCATGGTAATTCTTGTGGTCAGGCACATTTGAGAAACCACTGTAATCTTTTCAAGTATGTTGTCCATCTTTGTCATCCACTTGAAATGGAACTTACTCTTGGATAATTTTGGTCTAATTTCCTATATTTGGTTTCATATCATCCCCCAAACTTCCTCAGAGTTAAAGTATCAGGAGATTCCACATAAAAAATCTAATGTGATTTTTTTAAAGAATTTTATATTCAGATTTTTATCTTTTGATAACATCTCAAAGTTGGCATGTTTTTCAAATCTATACTGTGTGTACTAGTCAGTTTCTCTCCATTAGGAAATGGACCCATTCAGATACACATCAAGTTTTTAAAACCTTGACCATGATGTGAAGGCTTCTTAATATTCTCCTGACAGGGGGCACCTGGGTGGCTCAGTCGTTGGGCGTCTGCCTTCGGCTCGGGTCGTGATCCCAGGGTCCTGGGATCGAGCCCCACATCGGGTTACCTGCTCAGCTGGGAGCCTGCTTCTCCCTCTCCCACTCCCCCTGCTTGTGTTCCGTCTCTAGCTGTGTCTGTCAAGTAAATAAAATCTTAAAAAATATATATATATATATATTCTCCTGACAGTAATTCTACCTGCCTTTTTTTGAAATCTGTAGAATCCAACACTATACCTACCTCTACCTATAGTCGGGAAAGCTAGGACTGAAGAAAATTGTCTCTAGAAAACTTGATGAATCAGACTCCTTATCTGATTATTCCATTTACTTCTATTAGTAACTGAGAAGTGCAGCAAGTTGCCAGAAATGTATGCCATTGGCATGTTAACACAGTGTATAACCTTACAGAGTTTTTATGGATCAGAATAAGCTGGTAATAAATATATAAAGTTTACAAGTTGCTTTGAGCATAATGGAACTGAGTCATCAAATATTATAGTGATGGTTCTTTTCCTCTAATGAGTTAAAAACAAATGCTTGGGGCACCTAGATGGCTCAGTCGGTTAAGTGTCCGACTCGATTTTGGCTCAGGTCATGATCTTAGGGTTATGGGATCGAGACCCCCGTTGGGCTCCACACTTAGTGGGTCATCTGCTTCTCTCCCTCCCTCCAGCGCCTCACGCATGCTGGTGTGTGCCCTTTCAAATAAATAAATACATCTTTTTTTTAAGTACCAAATGCTCAAAGATAGCTTTTGAGTATGTGTCCCACTAAGCAGCTCTCAGTTTGGTAGATTCTAATAACATTATGATCTATTTGTTGTGGCAAGAAAGTTCAAATAAAGACCCCCCAACTTAATGTTTTTAGGCAAGAATCATCATTCCCGGGCACTGTCAGAAAAGGCTGTATCTCCTTACCACACTCCTGTAAGTCAAGACTTTGAGGAGGCCGGAGCTAGATTCAGCTTCACATTTATTATACCATCACTGGTGACTGAGAGAACATTTGCCTGTGATTACTCCATTCAAGAGAGCACTTGACATGCTGTAAACACTCCGGTTTGTTCTCGAGATTTTTCTATCACTGTATCTGCATAGGACCCAACTAAATAAACCAAATGATAAAGTTTGGTGTAAGAAGACTGGTAAATATTTGTATATTTATTTTAAAAGCATGATTTTAATGACTACATAGTATCATTTCCAAATAGAATTTTCAGTGAAAATGCAGGATATTCCATATATGGTGTGGTGCCAACCTGGTTAAAGAAAATAGCAAAGTTTGGAAGCCAGATCAACAATTTAAAAACTAAACGATGCTTTTCCCTGATTTTAAAAGTAATATATGCTCAGCGTATAGAAAAGGATTAAGAAAACCAACAGTTAAGCAAACTTAACCTTTTCCTACATCTCTCCAGTCCCTTTCTATGTACAGGATCACAGTGTGTTCTTCAAGGCTTCAGACAAGAGGTATCCACCCAGTCATGCTGGACATCTCTACCTGGAACCGCAAAACGAATGCATCATTTTCCCCTTAAATTTGCTCCTACTCTTATGTTCTCTGTCAGAGACCCACTGCTATAGTCTCCTGACTTACCTTCCAACCTCCCTTGTTCTCATCAGATTCGTAGTCCCTGTTGGCAATCTAAAATGTAAGTTTGACCTCATTTCCTTAAGGCCTTCAGTGGCTCCCTATTTCCTAAAGAATCAAGACAAGGCTAATGCCCTCTTCATCAATTCCCACAGCACTATCTGTTACATAAAACAACTTGTATCTTCCAGAATATGCCCCTAGCAACTTACCCACTCCATTCTTCAGTCTGAATTATACTGTCCTCCACACCTTCCCAAATTAACTGCCTTCCTAGATCATTTGTTCAGTCTTAGAGACTCAGGCTCAGACTCAACTTAGTGCCCCCAGAATGAATTAGGGAGCCCCATTCCATGCCTCCATAATATCCCAGGTGCATTTGTATCAGTGATTTATTCATGTGTTGTAATCATCTGTCTCCCCTGATGAGCCAGGGACCAGAACGTACTCCTATTCTAGGCCCCATTTTTCCCAAACTTGGTATAGTGCTGGATACATAGTATTTGTTCAAAATGTTTTTTGTTAAATTTATAAAGTCAGAGGGTAGACATTCCAATAGTTCTAAAACGGGGGCTCCAAGGAAACCTTTTAAAGACTCGGAAGAGAGCCTAGGGCTGCATGAGAGCAGCGCCTCTGCTTGGCTTTGCTTCCTAGGCTTGCAAGTAGGACTTTGAAGTCTGTGCTACAGAAAAAAATGTGGGGAAACCAGTGGACGAGATGATCTCTAGTACCCTTTCCGTTTATGAATACAATTCAAGGGCAGAACTCTGCAATCAGAAATACCTAGCAATACTTACTCTACGACTGCAAAATACAGATATATCTTCACAACGGCCTGAGCACCACAATGCAACCCTGACCCACCGGCCTATCTAATCAGAATTGTTTTGCAGCAGCTACAGTGTATGGGCTGCACCAAAGGGGGAAAAAAATGGAGAAAAGGAGAGGACTTCCATTTCTTTCTTCCCCTTATGGCTAAAAACATTCATCAGTGCCTTTGAAATCCCACCCAGGGAGTCCTTTGCCCCCTCCACTATGGACCCCACCACCCGCTCCCCCTCTATCCCCACTACTCCCATTACAGAGCTGCTCATCGCAGTTGCTAGTCTGTTCCAGGGGTAATTTAGGAAGAGACAAGTTGAATTGATCTTGCCCAAAATAAACTGTGATGTAATAAAAATATAATGAAAACAGTCCAACCTGCTGCACTTGCCTAGGAAGAAATGCCTTATTTGTAGAGCAAGACCTTTGCCCTTAAAACCTGTGCTAACACTGAAAAAGGAGACAAAAGCAAGATAAGATAGGAATAAATCACCTTTCTTATGTAAGAAACGCAGGAGCAAGCATTTTCATTCCTTCTGCGTTTCAGCCGTGTCTAGTGGAATGAGTTTAGGCCTCGAAGGAGGTCTGCTGCCTTCTGGTGAACCTGAGTAAGTTTCTGAACTTGTCTGAGCCCCCAATTTTCCTTGTTTGTGAAAGGAACCAATAATACCTGCCTCAAAGGTAAGAAATAAGATAAAGGCCACCACCGACCCCATGACATGTACTACACATTATCCCTTCTTCCTCGGCTTTGCAGTGGTAGAAAGACATTTGAAGTATCTTTTTAGGTGGTATATAATTTTCTTTCTCTTTAAAGTGAAAATCTGAATAACCTTTTGTTAATTAAATCTATAGTTCTAAATCTGAAAAATGTTTACTAGCCTTCCCACAATTTAGCTATCAGTAACAAAGTATTACATTCAGTAACAGAGCATCAGTGAAATATTAAAGTTCAACAATAATGCCAGGAGGCATAGATCCACCTTTATTAATATTCTCACATGCCCAATTCATAATTTATATATTTAGAATTTAAACTTGTAGGGTGGAGTTTATCCTGAAATCATTTGTTTAACTTTATTAACCTGTAGATGAGGTGTCAGGGACAGAACTAAGTGATTAGGGGCGCCTGAATGGCTCAGTCGTTAAGTGTCTGCCTTTGGCTCAGATCCTGATCCCAGGGTCCTGGGATGGGGCCCTGCATCGGGCTCCCTGCTCAGTGGAAAGCCTGCTTCTCCCTCTCCCACTCCCCCTGCTTGTGTTCCTGCTCTCACTATCTCTCTCTCTGTCAAATAAATAAAATATTTTAAAAAGAAAAAAAGAACTGTGATTATATTAAATTGAAAACACCTCATTACTGACCACCTTCACTGAAGAACAGTAAGCACATCATCCATAAGTTAACTTTCTTTGGGAGTAAAATTACAAATGCTAGATTACAATGAGGTTACCAGTGTATTTGCTGTTTAGCTTCACAGATTTGTGTGCGTTTTTTAGTTAACCTTATCTCAACTGCCACGAAATAATTCAGAATCATTTCACGACTCAACTTGTGTTAAGCAAAACTAGTGATTAGAATGGCTTTAATATATTGCAAATGTACTGTTCAGCGATTTTCCTCAAATGACTGAGTCTCTTAAAGTAAATTCAAACTTCAGTCATCCTAAATGAAAAAAATCACTAGGCTCACATTATCTCTAACACAGATATTCTTGAGCAGTCAGAATTCAGTTCAAATTGGAATTTACTCATAATGGTTAACTATATGTCAACTTGGCTGGTCTATGGTGCCTGGTTGTCTGGTCAAACACTAGTCTAGGTGTTGCTGTGAAGGTGTTTATGAGATTAACATCTACAATTGGTTGACTATCAATAAATAAATAAAATCTTAAAAAAAAAAATGGGGTCGGGAGTGCCCCTGGGTGGCTCAGT